ACTAACGCCTGATTTCATTTTAATGGATAGTAGACTCGCACTGCTTCTACCGCACTCTCTCTTCTCTCATCCCCGTGTGCCCGGTGTTAAGACAAAGTTAAAAAAAGAACGAAGGCGGGATCAGACACAGGTGACTGGTACGGAGTGAGCCGGCGCCTACGCTTGCCACAACTGCTGTTTTGACAAACGTATGGATTATTCTGAATAAAGCTTTGTACTGTAGGTACGCAAATGTGACTGATAGCTTAGGCAAATTTTAAGGGTAATGAAAAAGGACGGCAATAAAAACCAAAATTTAGTAGAGTGCGAAATATTAATCAGTTCCCAAAGTTTGCACTGTTTTGCGCTGGGATTTGTCTATTATTCAAATTTGGGTGAATCGTGGCTACATTGAAATTACAGTATAGTGTTCAGCTTCGCACTCGAAATGAAAATCAGCTGTACAGAGGGCCTGAAACAAATTAATCCCTGCCGCGCGTTGTCACCAGGTTTAACCTGCCGGAAGTTGACTTGTCAAAAATGAAATGAGTAGACTAACAGGATATGAGCTGCAAAACGGCAGGACAGTTACATACGTCGCAGGTTTTTTCCACTCTTGCAAGGGGTTGAAAGGACGGTTAGATGTCATGAGGATTAGAACGTTGCAAGTAACTTTTATCAGCATTGTGTGCGCTGAGATTCTAACCGGAAATATTTAGTGAACTGAATAATTCAGCTTTTCGATGAACGCTCACAGATCGCTAAGAAGTTCGTTCCATTCTTCCTTGAGAGTGACCCTCGATCTTCACCAACAGTCACACAGCAGTTAGGGTTGTAGGCAGATGAATACTGCCGGTTTAAAGATAAGAGCTGAATTTGACGTGACTGGCTGATAATGGCTAAGGAGCCAGAAATGATCATTCCAGTGGCCCTTGACCTTGCTGTCAAGGTTGACCATTAAGTTTCCTTAATCAAATAATAAACCATACATGACCACCGTTAAACATAAGCCCTAGAACTACATGAGTCTAGCCAGGAAACATGAAGGGTCGGTGATAAGGTTGTATCCAATGGACATCAATGTACGTTAGCACCTACCGCCGGGTCGGAGGGATGAAAGACGTTGAAGATGTGGCGGCAGAGGTAACGCGGCATGACTTTATCGGGAGAGGACGAGGAATCGGGACGCACACCACGGAGGGCAAGGTAGACTGGTAGCGGTGATCCAACACAGAAGAGGTTCTCCAACTGCAATTAAATAAAGAATGATTATACCCAAAGGTGTTTAGGGCCGTTGTGTCGCTAATACTAGTAGCAGCAGCAGCAGCAGCAGGAATCAGGCGAAACGTTGTTAACACCTGTAAAAACAAACTACAACTGAAACATTTGGCCTACAATCTACAAGAATTGCTTACCATTCCTGAAGCTTTCAAAATTCGCATCGAAGTAGAACGTATTTTGCAACAGAAGTATCCTTATCTCTTGATGTCTCTGGAATTAGGTTAGGGTGTGAACTCGAAATTTCAGACAAATAAAAGTACTGGTTCCAGTGACCGAGTCTCTTCCCTACCCCTAGATCTGTATTTGTTGGTTTCCAAGGCCTCTAGATTGGAGCTTCAAAGGAAAACTAAATGTTTATATTCGACTCCAATCATAAACAGGACCCGTTTCTGCTACTGTTTCCTGCTCATGTCTATGATGATGAATCCGCGACGGATGTCGAAACGGCAAGCGAATAAACGTATTGTCCTAGCGATCGAGTCGTCTTCTTCTCAGGTGAACAGTATTTCCCACAAAACTCGAACATTCCCGAGAGGACTTGACGCATCACAAGTCTGGAACTCGACTGGTTGGACATGAAACTTGATACACTGGATCCCCACTCCAACCTCCCGTGGTTCCGATCGAGAACTGAGATCGAGCACCAGGAAGATAAAAAAAATAAGAACGGTTATTCCAGTTTGTAGTCAGCTACTTGTCCGACGTAGTTCTCAAAACTAGTGTAGGGAGGATAGAGAATCGTGAGAGGTGGATAGAGGGTTAAAATGGGGTGGAAGTGAACCGGGGGAAGAATGGGGGGGTTAGCGCACATGGAAATAGGGAAAGTGTGCCAGCAATGGCTTATCAAACAGCCAGCCACAATGGGGCAGTGTTGGGAAAGGATGCAAGTCACAGTTAAAGCACGACGACTGATATTAATCTGACCGTCCAACGATAAGCAGCTGTGGTATTTAAACTCTCTATAGGTTTCAAACTATCCTACACCCCCAGGCCTTTAACATGATCCCGCACCATCTTCTCCTTAATAAAACATCTGCATTTGGCTTTCCTGGGTGGGCCGTCTCTTGGCTTGGGGACTATTTCACCTCCTGCACTCCTTGTGTTCAGTGCGGAAAGCAAAAATCTACGGTCCTTCCCAACAACTGTGGAGTTCTCCAAGGATCTATATTATCCCCTCACCTCTTCTCCCTCCACATTGATGACCTACGATCAAGAAGCGAATGTCTGTACGTTAAATATGCTGATGCTGTGGTTTTTGGCCATCCTCTCCAAAGTCAGATACATTTCCAAGTACTGAAAGATGGCCAGGACCACGTCTCAGCATGATCGTCAGTAAACTGCTTTCTACTTAACTACCAGAAGTCAGTCCGCGACCCTTCTCTTCTGCCCAAGGAAATATCCTCCTTCCGGTACCTTGGTGTTACTCTGGCATCTTACCTCTCATTGCACAGTGTATTCGTAAACTGTTATATTATATCCGCCGTTTGCGTTAATAATGCACACCGCAAGCCCTAATCTGACGATTTATAGATGACTGCATTATCCCCCTCATTCTTTGCTACTCTTAGTTGTTTTTCCAGCTTTACTTAAAAAGGCCTGGCCATTTTTAAACGTATCCTCCGAATGCTCTCTTCATCTGCCGTTGTTTTATATGTTTTTTAGCTGATAGTATAATACAGCGACACTCTAAAACTGTCGAGCAATTTGCTGATCGCATCCGTAGTGAGGTTGCTCACCCTCTCCATTCTGAACTAATGGCTGCGAAGTCTTGCCGAAGCTTCCGTCCTATGCCCTGCCTCACGTCGGCATATCAACACTCTACACTTCCATTCCTAACACGCTACCTCACGTGTGGAGAAATGGAAATATAGAATTTGAAAGTCAACTTGTCTCTATAACAGTTGTGGATATCGTGTAAACTTTTAATATTGAGTATTCTATGACCTTTTGCCTTACGTTATCCCTTGCCCTCCGTGAAAGGAGCCATTTTTTGCTGAAAATTTTGGATGTAGCCTTCAAAATAAAGCATTTTTCTCTCTCTCTCTCTCTCTCTCTCAGGCCTGTTCGTAATTGATGCCAGTTGCATATGGGAGTAATTCGAGAAGGACGATAAGGTTGGGTGGAGAGAGAGAGAGAGAGAGAGAGAGAGAGAGAGAGAGAGAGAGAGAAA